TAGATTCTTCTAGGTGTTCTTTCTTTTTAAGTAGTGTATCCTTGCAGCTTTCAATTGAAGTGTCATTATCCATGGCATTATTGTAGATTCTTCTAGGTGTTCTTTCTTTTTAAGTAGTGTATCCTTGCAGCTTTCAATTGAAGTGTCATTATCCATGGCATTATTGGTATTCTTCCCCAGTGAGAGYTCAAGAGATCCTTCTTGCAGTTCCTCTTCTTGTATGAAAGAATCTTTACRACTGCCAACAAAAGCATGCTGACATGAGTCTGCAATAGGAGTACAGTCCTCATCTTCAGTTTGCTCTTTTGCTTGTACTACACATGAACTTAAATCCACATTCTCCTCGCAGTTGCTGTCTGATTGTAATTTCAAAGCCTCTTCATCTTCTATAGTGTCTGAAAGTTTAACATTAAAGCCTAGATCAATACTTCCAGTTGATGCTTGACCTGATGAAATCTGATGAGCTTGTTGTGTTATAGTATTTGACACATCAGTTTCAATGTCTAGTTCACAAACAGCACTCAATACATCAACATTGTTGGTTGTGGACAAACGTTCTTCACACATCTCAGAATCACATGGAGTCTCATTGTTGATGCTTAAACACTCAGTGTTTTGATTTGTTTGATAATTATCAACTTTGACATTATTTACATTTGGTTCTCTATCACTTGACCTTGAATCATTGGCAACATTGGTAGATATAGATCTAATTGTATCATCATTATCATCTGTTGGAACTTCCAGTTCTTTCTTTTCTACAGCCTCACTTGTCTGTGAATTGCTAGTTGTGGAAKGAGATGGAATTCTTGTATCTTTGGTGGTGATTTCTGCAGTATTCTTACCACTGTAGGGTTTCTTTTGCACAACAGATGTAGGTTTATTAATTACCTTGTTGATCAGTGATGTGTTCCTCGRCATTACTTTGAAATTGGTCTTTTTCTTGGATCTAATTGGAAGAAAAGGAATCACTAGCTGCATCTGTTTACCGTTATTAATGTATTTGGATAACAACTGCTGTTTCTTGAGTTCTGTCATTACAGTRCACTTCTTTTGTTTGAGTTTCTTTTGTATTACACTTCTATCTGTTTTTGGTTTTACTGATTTACTTTCTTTGATCTTATCTATTTTTGGCTTGCATTTATTCTTTGAGTTCTTATGGGCCACCTGAGGGGTATCTGTAGATGGTTTCTGTAAATAATTGCTAGGAAGTTCCTCTTGTGCCACATCAGCTGTATCCCTTCGTTCTGGGGGCAAAAACGGAGCATCTTCTTCTAATGGGTTTGGTATGTCATTATCAACTGTTACTTCTGCACAAACTTCAGTTTCTATCATCATATCATCAACTARTTCACTACTGCTACTCTGCTGTTCACTGTCATCGTAATGTGAAGAACAAAGTGGCAATCTGGTAGGATGTATAAGTGCACTAAATGCATCAAACCTAGGAAACTGACTGGTCAACATACTTTCAATAGCATCATCAACATCATCTTCATCCATCCTCATAAGGTAATTAATGGCATTTTTGGACATTTCATTTGGTGTGCATTCATGGACTTTGAACCTTGCAGTARCCTCTAGTGAGTTGTTATCTATTGAAGTGTTTGCAGATACAGAATGGATTGGTGTACTTGCAATGACATCATTCCTTGCAAATAAATCAAAGTCTAAGGACTGGATGCTTCTGGTTTCACAATCACTGTCCAACACMATGACATCTTTTTTGACACCTTKTACAGTTTCTACTTTTTCAGATGAATGATTGTTATCATTTTGCATCATTTTATTTGATGGGTGAGTGAMWTCTGGGAGTATGGTACTTTCAGCACTTTCCAAATGTGTAAACTGATCTTGTGTTTCTACACTACCGTCTAACTCTGCAGATAGAATTGAACCKTCTGARTYACTACTTGTTTCCRTTATATCCACATTAATTTTTTCTGAGYTTCTTTCTAGCTTTGATGCAGCATGCTCAAGCTCTTGACTATCCCTACAATCAACATATACTTCCTGATCTTCAATGGTACTACAAGGTTCATGKGGAATCAATTCTTGACTTGATGATAAATCATTGCTTTCACTCTGGCTGGTTTGTTTTGCATTATCAAATACATCTTGGTTTTGAGGAGGAAAACTGTTGTTTTGTTTKTCATTTTCACAAACATGATCTGTATCTTCACATGCAGCAATATCATGTGACATAACTGTTTCAATCAAAGCAAGCTGATCTTCAGTAAAAGATTCACTATCACTGTCATCATCACTGTCAGAGTCTGACATCTCATTGCTACTGACTGGAATTAAACATGTTCTGTTCCATTTCTCATTCAAGTGTAAACCACTGTCAAAACCGTGTCTCTCAATTTCTGAATATCGGGATGAGTCCATCCCTTTATTTCTGGGTGCAGAATAAGTAGTGTCCATTTGATCTGAGTCTTGGTATTTCAACAATTCTATAATTGATTTGTCGCTAAAAATTTTATTTGGRCCAGTCATAGTTTGACAAAYTTTCTTATTCTTAGGCTGTGTATTGACTCTGATATCCTGCCTCTTTTTATTGGTGGTAGGAACAGTCAACTTGRCATTTTCATTTGATTTCCTGCTAGAAGTTCTGTTCTCTTGTCTTTTGGGAAGTCTTTCAGAATCATTTGTTRAATTTTCTTCATTGATGTCATTAGAACTTGATTCCTCACACACAATTGAAGAATTCACGTCTGAATTGATAACGTCGTTGTCTTGATAGTTCAGAAGATAAGCTGCAAGGTCTGGTTGAACAGTACACATTTTGCCATAATACTTACTGGAATCACTTCGATCGCTATCTCGACTCTTTGAGAAGACAAGAAGAATAGTGTACAGTATTCAAAATGCTTGCTATTTTACTTCCTGGGAATCTTACTTACCTTAAAGATGGAAATTGACTTATTTTTGAACCAATATTCGTGATTTTTCACACACTTTTTACACACAATTGCAACAAAGACGCCCTTTCAASGAACGAACGTTGTGAAAGCGTGCATCAACATGCTGATATTCTATTGGTTGATTCTTACCACGTGATTACCTGACTTATTATATCTCAGTCTTTCTCAGTCAAAACTAGTAACGCCTGACTGAAATAGTATTTTGCTTTGTCGCGCGAATCATATCATCACAAAAACCAGTATAAATATAAACTTAATAGACGTCGCCTGTAATTATGAAATCGCTTTTGGATAGTTTTCGTTCTTTTTACRAAGTTATCTTAGTGTTAATTTTTATTCTTTCAATAATCGATGCGCAACAATATCCGAAGAAAGAGAAGTTTTATGCCGTGAAAGAAGAAGTCAAATTTATTCGTTGTGAAACCTGCCAAAAAGCAGTGAAATATTTGTACAGAAAAGCTAAAGAGATGAAGGATAAAGCTACGACTAAGAAGGTATGTAAATACAGGAAAGCATAATTCATCCTTTATAGTAAAATAGACAAAATAAGAAGAAATTTGGTTCARACTAGTTTTACGTGTGCAAACGTGGAAACTAGCATACATTAGMCGACTCATTGGACATTTAGAGAGTCACGCCCTGGGGGTATTTTGTGTTTTAAGAAAAAATTCACTTTTGCACATGAAGAGAATTATACTCGGTATCGAGTATGACAGCTAGTAAAATATGATTTTTTTCAAAAGCATCAATCAAATACGTGCGCACGACATCGAAATATYGCATTACACACSACATTTTGAAATTTCTTTACTTTCCACAAAGCGTAAGCATTGTATAARAGAMATGTGGCGAAAACTGAGTGTAGTCTTCATTCAACCGGCTTATGATCTATCAAACGTCAAGATAGCATCAAAGGTTTTGAAGTATATTCAAATCTCCATGGAAATGTTTCYTGTGCACGGTTTATGTGCCGTTTTCTTTGTCATAGGATGAAYATGTATTTTTATTTGTTTCAAGTGTAACCTTAGTGTAAAATAGAGTTTATAACTCCACAGATCATACAGATGTTTTTTTGAGAACATGTGTAAGTTTGTGCTTAATCTTTGGTTAACCGCGAAAACGATGCATGAATTATTACCGTCGGACTAGGTAGTTTTCTGATGACTTCCTGTGTTGTTTGATTGGTTGTGTTGCATATGATAGCCTTAAACTTTGATAAAATATTCACCAATTTTCGTATACTTATATCAAAATATAAATTTTCCTCACCATTTCTTCTTCCATTTGACATTTCAAAGGACACTTTTGTCAACATGTACGAAAGATGGTGATACAGGTGTTMTTCTCACGTCACAATCCGTTTTTTTTTGTTTGGAAATATTGAAAATACTCAAAAATTTAACAACAAAGYATGATCCTTTGTTTGTTTTGACGTTATTGAATTCTTGTTCAGTAATTACCTAAAAATGGTTCCATTTTGTTATACTTAGAAAATCTACAAATTATCCCTTTTGTGTGTATTTGATTTATGATGCTGTCTGTTTTTTTTTATGTCTGCCTTTTTGTAAAAAAAGTACCAGAATAAAAAGATTATTTGCTTTTAATTGTATAAATTGTTTCATCTGTAAATCTTTCTTCTCTAATTTTCTTATCTCTTTATGGAAAAGGAAATTTWAAAAATTCATTCACAGATTGTATGGTGAACATTTAACAAATGAAATACCATTATTTCAAATATTTAAGTGTTTTTAATAATATTTTACCCAATTCTGACTCAWGTTTGCTAGCTGGATACATGTAATATCAGATGAATCTATTTTTAACAAATTGATTTGCACTGATATTTTTCATCATGGTTTTATTCGTTTAATTACATGGCCAATCAATTATGTTTTATAGATCTCGGAGGAAGAGATAATCAATTTAGTTGAGAAGAGCTGCAATCCTGGTAAAGAAGAAGGTGAATGGATTTCAAAATTTGATCTTGTTGCTGATAACAATGAGTTAAGATTAGTAGAGAAACAARACTTTGGGAGGTGYAGAAAAGAATGCCAGACTATTGCAAAAGCTTGTGARGAATCAATAGGAGAAGCTGACACTGACCTTGGTGAACTGCTGTGGCAAGACAAGCTGTCTCTTTCTAAATTAATCAAYAAGTTTTGCTATTCAATGTCCTCATCTTGTAAGAGCAATAATCCCAAATTCAAAGGGAAGAGGGCTGATGAAGAATTTCTTGTTATGTCTGAAGATGAAAGGAAAGCTGATCAAGTGCTAAAGCAGATGAGGTAATGAGAGTAATGAATGGATGAGATTTATTAATTGAATGAGAGAACTTAAATGAATGGAAGTAGTTAAATTAAAAAACAAATAATTTACGTAAAATATTATTGTGAATGAACAAAAACAAATTGAGTTGAATCAATAAATGTATTAGTGAATGACTGGATGGACTAATGGGTGCATAGGGAATTTTTTATTGCATGAATCAGTCAATRACGAGTGATTTGTTTTCTTTTTGATGTGATTCTTACATACAAAAAAGCAATGTTGATGTTTTAAATTTCTACAGAGGAATTCCAGGAATGCCAGGAATGGAGATGTATTCAAGGGAAGACATAGCTAAAATGACTGAGCAAATGGGTGGAAAGAAAGGCCAGGAGCCTGAACAAGCAAAAGAATTGCCCATTGATGATGAAGGCTTGCTWTATGCTGGGGGAGATGTGAGCTTCTTTCAAATAATGAAGGACAGTTATTCAAGGTTSACATCATGGATGAAAGGCCTTTATAATTCAGCTTTTAAAAAGTCAGAATTATGACATCTCAACAAAATTCTATTTCTAATAAGTTTACTAAAATTAAGGCTTAACACAAGTATGTGCACACTTTGTTCCATGTACTAGGTCTTTTACAGGTAAATGAAGGCAGGTGTTGTATTTGTTCTGTAAAAGAGAGCAACATGCAAAGCACTGATCCTTCTTCATTACAGCTTATTAAGTTTTATATATTTAGTGACCAAAGTTATCTGTAACACCATTTGCTCTCATCTGATGAACYACAAGAATTATGAGAAAATCCTGCTTGATAAATAATGCCACTTTGTGCAAATGTATGAGTTTGGTGATGTGCTGAAATTTATTTATAAGCAGTGTTAATACATGGAAAATAATGAAAATAAAGTCATTTTCATAATTAATGTTCGTCAATAGTCATACTGTAACTTTTAATTCTGGAAACGTGTTTTGATAAATGATCTTGTAGTTTGTGGATATTGTGTATTCAGTCTTCTAATGGTTACAACGCCAGAACAAGTGAAGGAGTCTAAGTCAAGATCTTAAATATATGCAATRACATCAAGAAATTATTTATATTTCTCATTCAAAATTTATTGTTTGTTTGAACTAAAGTTATACTACATAAAAGAGCATCAAAATCAATAAGAAGTTTATTGTGCTCCATGGAGGCTATGCAGAGTGATAACCAATACCAAGATTGYTTATCAAATGTCTAAATATTGGGTATATTACCAAACCACCAAGCTATCAAGGTTAAGTCCAAATTTTACCATCAATTCCTATTGAACTGCTACAGTCTTTATTCCTGCCACAACATTGTCCTCATATTATGCAACATTCTTGTTACAACTATTGTTATACAATCCCACAAGTCTGCAGTCACAAAATCTCATGGGTGATGGTCACRCAATCTTTCTAGTGTGACTGTCACACAAAAATCATTGTTGTCCCAAAAGTAAAGGAGACGATGCAATAAGAAATGTTAAAAAAGAGACAGTTATAGGTCCATTAAAATGACACGAGGATCTTCCACTGCTGCCTTGATTTTTCTCAGGAATGTGACTGCTTCCCTGCCGTCAATGAGACGATGATCATATGTCAAAGCAACGTACATCATTGGTCGAATTTCAACCTGTAAACAAAAAGCATGAGAGATTACAATTCTGTTTGTTTGGTTATCAGAAGGAGAAGTGCTCAAGGGAAAAACTAGAAGGATTTTATTTCTTATCCTGCTTGCTTCACACTTCTTCACTTCTTCCCTCTGTGTTTGCAGGTTGTCAGACATACATAAGTGTCACATACATCCCCTATGTTTCTAAACAGTGAAATTAACTATGATAAAAAAGGGTTCACAAGATCAGGATTCATCAGAATCATGAACAATACCTTTCCATTTACTGCTACTGGTCTGTCATTGATGGCRTGCATTCCCAATATAGCTGATTGTGGTGGGTTGATAATTGGTGTACCCATCAGTGACCCAAAAACACCTCCATTAGAGATAGTGAAAGTACCTCCATCCATGTCCTCTATAGCTAACTCATTATTCCTTGCCTGAAAACAAACATCAATTATAAACTACAGGGTAAATGTACTGCAGGACATCAATGAACTACAGGGTAAATGTACTGCAGGACATCAATGAACTACAGGGTAAATGTACTGCAGGACATCAATTAACTACAAAGTAAATGTACTGCAGGAGGGTAAATGWACTGCAGGACATCWATAAACTACAGGGTAAATGTACTGCAGGGGGRWTGTGYACTWGCAACTAGCCCACTGAYTAACCCTGCACAAAAGAATGAACAATGAGGCTCTARAGAAACAATARGAGYCTCTTSTGCAGTTCTTTTGTGSATGACCATTTAGCATCTCTATTGATAGTGTGTAAGGAGTAAAGAAACCCTTGTTCATTGAGGAATTATGATGAAGTCATCACTCTCTTTGCCATTCTTTTTCTTTGTACCCAGAGTACAAGGTGACAAGGTATGTCTTACCTTTTCTCCTAATAGGTTGATAGCTCTTTCAATATCTGTATAGTTCATTGTTTCCACATTACGAATAACTGGAACAACTAGACCCTGGATGCATACAATGGAGACAATATCACCATTATGAGTCACTGATAAAAAAATGCCTTGAAGAGAGGAAGGAATACTTACCTTTGGTGTTGAGACAGCAACACTAATGTCAACATAGTCTCTATAAACAATCTCATTCCCTTCAATAACTGAAAACAAGAAAAAAAGTTATGATTATGTGCTTATGTTATGCAGAATAAAAAATGCATTTCAAAGTGATGAAGTTGTCCTTCAGTAGCATCGTGTTGTGCAATATAAAGTTGAAATTAGGCCATACGCTACTGCTGTGATAAGTTTACTTTCGAGCTTTCGTCGGTCGCCGACATCATCAGGAGAGTGAAGGAAATTTACATATCTGTACTCCTTATACTCGCAGATCTGTAAATTTCCTTCATTCTCCTGATGATGTCGGCGACCGACGAAAGCTCGAAAGTAAACTTATCACAGCAGTAGCGTATGGCCTAATTTCAACTTTATATTGCAAAAAATGCATTATTGTTCTTGAAACAGAAAAACTAGAGGGTAAAATTAAAGGCACATCAAAATAAATAGAAACRTGCTGTACCTGCATTAACAACAGGTTCAGATTGAAGTGCAAAAGCTGCTGCCTTCACAAATGCCGACATGAAGCCTAATTTGATTCCATGCTTCTTAAAAAATGCATCCTTGTGAGTTTTACGCATCTCCATCAC